TTTAAGTGCAAATATAATCACGAATCATTAACCTGCAGCACTATACGTCTCTTCATAGTAATTTAGTATCAATAAACCACTATACTGTTTAAAAAGCGGATCATGTAAAGGTTAGACACTTAAGCTTATTTCACCTGTCAATTTAACATCCAAACGCCAGCTTGACCTAACCCCCCCAAGATAATAGTAGGGTATTTAATCATCAGGTGAAACAATAAGCTTGTTTCACCCTCGTAACTCAGTATTATGAACCAAAAACAACATTACCCACCCGCTGCTGAGTTCATAATCTTGGTAATGAAACTTCAGGCAGGATTCGTTGCTCCCATTCTGACATCGGCCAGCCTAACCCCGACGAATAATAATAATAATAATAATAATAATAATAATAATAATAATAATAATAATAATAACAACAACAAACGTAGAGAAGAATACAATTAAGTACAGTGAATAATGGAGAATCTACCTATATTCTCTGCATGTTTACCGTCTTCAAACGTCAAGGGAATTTATAAACACATTTTCTCGTACAGGTTACACTGATATGAATACACACCCTAAGACGTCGTGAAGAATAACGTGAGAAAAAAAAATTATGAAGATGAGCAACAAAAGGTAACACGAGTTCAGAGTCACTTGTAAATACAGAGTTCAGTGCACGACAAGAGTACATAAAACATAGGCTTGCCATTCTTCATCTTATGTAAATTTTATTGAGTCTCAAACACGACACACACACACACATACACGTTAGAAATACTGTAAGAGAATGTGAGAAACTTGCAGCGCAGGATATTCCTCTCTCTCTCTCTCTCTCTCACAACAGGAATTCCCCGCCCACGACCTTCCCGACGCTGCAGGTTTTGATACGAACTTGGCAAGGTAAATGAGGGGTTGGGTTACAATATGGTGTTGGGTTCGTCGATAAGGGGCCGCTCGCCCACCCACTTGGGTATCCTGACAACAGCTAAAACGTTGTGTTGTGGTCTTCCCTCCCTCAATACCCACGAGACTAAAACTTCGACTAAAATTTTTAAAATATATGAAGAAAAAACCCAAACAAGGTATTTTTTTCGGAAATATAGAAGCTTTTTTTTCCATTTACATTAATAATAACCTTACGAGTACTTATTTTCGATGTGTTTTTTTTTCTCGTTTTATGGCAATATGAGAAGTAGGGTCACACCTTTTTTGCAGGGGATGGGGGGGTGGGGGGTGTTAGGTTACTACTCTATAGACTAGTTTCTGACCTTCACACCTTGTCAACCTGATCAAATCCGAAGGTGAGGTGGCCGCCACGATAACATGCTAGTGGGAACTGCGACATAGAACCTGGGTTTGTAGGTGTGGGTTGTGGATGTAGGTGTGGGAAGAGCGTGGGTTATGAAATGAAAACTCACAAAATATGTTTAAATTTCAAATCTCATATATTCTTCAGATTCGTATCGTCAGTATTTCTATTGGTTTATTTAAGACATCAAAGAGAATTACTATTACGTTCTTACATATGACACAAGTTATTCACAATCGAACACGCGGTCTATCCCCGAACACCCTTAAATCCTCTGGGTAAAATCGCCGCCTCATGACTACCACCAAACTTGTCGTAGCCCTTGGTGTGCGGGTCATCATAGGGGGGGGGGGAGGGTGGAGTAGAGGGGTCAATGTCAACGCCAAATTGAGGACCAAAGAGCGCCAATTTTTCTTGCTCTTGTCATCACTTTTGTCGTAATATTTTGTATCCAAAATTACGTATTAATTATGATCTCTGAGTGACGTCCCAGCATTTCTAGATTAACGTGCACTAGACATTTGAATATGACTCATTTGGACAGATGAGTGTGTGGTAGTAAAGTAAAACTACCAACGTCCACTTGTGTTTTTTGCAACCACACCACACCACACCACACCACACCACACCCCTCCCCATCCCCTGAACTGTAGACATTATCATAAACAGAGAAAGAAGTTCATGTCTTCAGTTAGTTGTGGTGGCTGATACATGGCTCGTAAGACACTACACTCAGCTAGTGTTATCCCTCAACAAAATCATCTGGACACCGTGGCCAGTGTTTGGATATACTGTTATCTTATGACCTTGATAACTCATACTAAAATCATATCAGTATCACAATAAGGAGTTCTGATTGGTCGAGTATTACTAAGACTATGTTATTGTTGTCAAGGAACTTATGACGTTAAATATTTTCATAATTTATCATCAGTTTAGCGTAATCATGTCATTCAAACTTCGGATCACCTGAAGAATCTCCACCCCCGTTTATTTCATCTCAGGATTAGCCACTCTAACACAATTGGGGGGCTTGGGTTAAGTTAGGTTAGGTTAGGTTAGATAAATGGATAAAGATACATGAACGCCTCCCGGGGTGACCCTCAGAGAGACATGCCGCTGACGACAAGGGAAGGATTGTGGGATCAAGTAGGGCTTCCCGTCATGTTGGTAAACATTCCGTCAAGCCATAACAAAGAATACGAAAAAGAATATTCCCTGGGACGTGGTGTTGGATTCCTCACCAGCAGCGACACAACAAAGATTATATACAATACGGTATATAATATTGTGTTGAATTTATAAGGAAGAATATTTTATCAGTATAGATAAAAAAAAAAAGAAATATATGCCAAGCGACGGATGTTTATGGTGCAGAGGTCAAAAGAGATGGTGTGTGACTGTCATGTATACAAGTTCCCGCCTTACCCATCACACGAACTCCTTCTCCCCCCATACCCTCAGGACAACACTCAGCCAGAACATTCACTTAAGTAGTTATTCTCCTGTAATATCATATCATCAACAATAACGCAAAACACAAACTCAAAATCAGACAGTGAACTTTTATAAATAACAGGGTGTCGTTTTACCAAGTTCACTCCACACAGCCGACACCAAATAACAGAGTAATGATCGAGGGTAGAGTGAGTGGGACTGCTGAGGTTGGGTTACTAGAGGCGTGAGGAGGACGACTAGATTAACACACAGGAATTTTTCGCTTTAAACACCTGTACAAATATTGATTAAGGTACTAATTACAGGTAGATTCATTCCATATAGTGACAGTATCATTACAGGAAGGGCCTTAACCTTAAACAGATGGGGGGTGGGGTGTTGTTGCTACGGTGAGGAGGAGGAGGAAGAGACGTCGGTTGGTGGGGAGCTATGAGGTGCATTATGGGAGGTTGTGTGTCATGGGAAAAGAGGAATGGAACGGGTTTTGTCTTTACCTGCACTTAATCGGCTTCCGTGGACTTTTTTTTTTTTTACTATCCTGTCACCTTCTGGCTAACCAAACACCATTCCCTTCTCACCCACCACAGCGCCACACCCTACCGTCCAACCCTCCCTCATTAAACCCGTCCATTCACAGTCTTACATCACCAATCCATGGTTTAAGGTACAGAAACATCGATGGACAGAACAGAGGTAAAATTCTAATCGGGTTTATCATTTCACAAAGAAGATAAAGATATTAGTTATGTATTTAAATTTGTGTTAAATTAAGAAACGACAGCATTAGGTGTAGGAATTGGTACAAATACAGATACAGGGTTTCGGAAATGCATACCTGTACACAAAGACGAATGTAGATGACAGAATTTACATGTGTGAAACCTCATTGGTGTGAGATCCGATAATAATAGACAGAGAGACAGACATACAGACAGACAGTTAAATAGATAGAGACAGAGAGAGATTACGAGACAGAACGTGATACAGAGATACAAAAATAAATCGAGATAAAGAAAGAAAAAAACACATAAAGAAAACTATATAAAAAAAATTACTTCTTAGATGAAACGAGAAGTACAACTTTAACCCTGCATTACCCCCTCCCCCTCACCCCTCACCCCTGCAGAGTTTTAATGTACCCATTCTTTCCTTCTCCTCTTCTCGAAGCTTCATCTACCCCCAGTGGGCACCTCATTCCTGGCGGAGATACACACATACAGGGGGCACTTGATCAGGTATTGTTCTGCGTCGACAATAATGCTTTGTAACACAAGTAGTAATGCCCAATGGAGCTGCGTGATTGGATGAGCATTTTTGCGAGCGGTCATAAAGGGAGCAATATCGGTGGAGACAATGAGGAAGATGGGGCATTAGAGTGCGTTCGGGGGGGGGGGGGTTAGTGGTGGTGATAGTGAGTGGTCATGGGGTTAATGGTTGGTGATGAGTGGTGGTATGTGGTATAGGTAGGTGTTGAGTAGTTGTGGTAGTATGTGATGGTGGTGGTAAAAGGATAGTGGTAGGTGGTGGTGTGGGGGTACTATTGTTCGTATAAGGTGATAATGGTGATAAGTAGGTGATAATTAACATCACATTCACCGCATCACTGAGGAGAGGTCAAGGGTCACTATCTATCTATCTCAAATACCTAAAACACCACGTACAGGAAGAAACCTTTGCAGGACACACAATAAATCTTTCAATACAGGTAAGCTTCACAACTGCCTTAATACGTCGTACGCAGATGTGGTGACACTAATCGCTACTACTAAGACTATGTGCCAAAGGCTTCAATAAGTACAATCACACAATATATTTTCCTCTCTATGAACGACTATATATAATTCACTCTCTGTATCTTGCTAATGTAATCAGTCGCCCGTAAGGTAACTAAACTCTCACAATAATTCTAAAACGACCAGAATGAGCTGTATAGTTTACTCTTATCAGCATCTGTACCGTACTATTATTCTTGTCCACATAGTTTTAATCTTTCTTTACCGTCTTTTATTAGAATTATAAGTCCATACCATAAAAAAAACACCGCCTGTAGAAACAACAATCAACGGCGCCTGACGTTCCTCTTTGTCCAGATAATATAATGTTTATGGGGAGACGCCAGACGGAAGTTCCCGAATAATTTCTGTTGGCAGTGGCGCTGTTTTGTGATGTGATCAAGAGAAAAAGTATTATTATTGTATTATTATTATTATTATTGGTAGTAGTAGTAGTAGTAGTATTAGTAGTATTAGTAGTAGTAGTAGTAGTAGAAATAAATTTAAAATGAATGAAGACGGTCAGAAGAAAATTCAATAAATCAAACGTCAAATATTTTCTTTGTCCATTATTCTTTTTGTTTCCCAGTATCCTTCGGTGTGTCTTTGCCAGAGTCTTTGTTGATGTTGTCCTTGTTACCGGTGGCGGACTCTTTCGGGGTGTCCTTGGTCACCTTGGTCTTCTGGGTCTTTTTGGTCTTGAAGACGGACCAGTCGAGCTTGTTGACGAGGTCCTGAGCCTGAGAGACCCTGGGAGGCCGTGGACCTTCCAGTAGGTACCCAGCCACCACCTCGTACCATTGCTGCAAAAAAACCCGGAGGTCTTTAGTGAACTGGTAGGTCTTTATGTGGAGGTCTCAGTGCCTGGGTAGTGATGAGGAGGTCTTAGTGAAGGAACATGTTAGTGAGGGGTCTTAGTGAGAGGGGATATGAGTGTTGTAATAGTATTAGCAGTAGTAATAGTAGTATTGGTAGTAGAATTAGTAGTATTAGTAGTATCATAAATTCTATAAAAAAAAATCCTAAAAAATCACACACATACATACATACATACCCGTGCCCAAGGCGTAATGCCGATCCCAGCGACGAGGGCCTGCCACTGAGGCATCCCCAGGTGAGCCAGCATGAGGCGCCAGTAGGTGTGAGTGTCAGGTGCCAGCAGGTGAGGCCGCAGGGACAGGTCGATGAACCAATAGGAGCCCTCGCCGAAGGTCTCCCCCCGCCCAGGGTACGCCACCACCACCCTACCTGTTCACACCAGTTTACAGCTCAGATAGGGGTCCTTAGTTCTAATAGGCCTCGGTATTAATAGGGTCTACAGTACTTCTAATAGGTCCTTGCCTTAATAGGGTCCGGTCTTAATTATGTCCCAGTCCCAATAGGCCCCAGTCAAACCTAACGTAACCATTAGGATTAAAGACCCACTAAGACTAGAGCCCAGTACTGTAGTTGACCAGCCGCTTCGACACCCACTACACAAAGCTTTACTATGGCAAACATATAAACTTCACTAAATAAGACATTAACTTTAACACAGGTATAATTAACTTTAACATAGAATATATTAACTTAACCTTACTACAGAATATATCAACTTTAACATAAAAAAGACAATGTCAATATTATACATAAACTCTAATGATCTGACCATGAAATATATTAGCTACAATACAGAGTTCCTACACGAACACATTCCACTTCGCTTCAGAATCCTGTATTACTGACAGTGTGAACTTTAGTTACGTCATATATATACATATATTTATATATATATATATATATATATATATATATATATATATATATATATATATATATATATATATATATATATATATATATATATATTGCCACTGAAGATGTCTTGAATAAAGACGAAAGCTAAGGTGCTCCGTTGTTTCCCTTTTCCGTGTGATTTTATCAAGATTTATCTTATCCACGTTTTCATTGTGGATCGACATGAAATATATATATATATATATATATATATATATATATATATATATATATATATATATATATATATATATATATATATATATATATATCAATAACACAATCTAAGTTGTTAATGTTTTACAGTGAAAGTTATACTCATACGTCTGGCACAACACTCAAAAGTTCATACCGTTCGTCAGTTTTTCCCCAACCTAACAACGTGAGAATGTTTGGAATCGTCATATTTGAGGAAAGATACATAAATGGCTCCTAAAATGATGTCCACATTGTACTGGTAACTCTACTGTAGTTGGTATGTGTTGTGTTACCTCTAGTATGTTTAAAAGTCTATCGGGCAAATTTCTATGGGTTCAGATGACTCAGGGGGACGCTAAATCCCGAACAAAGTCGCAGGAAACCTTATGATTCCCGCCGCGTGACTGGTGGCTCAGTGAAATCCAGGAGAGTTATTTTATGTTCAGGACAGTATAACTATTTACGTGTTTTTTTTTTTACAATACAAGGAATCTTTGGTGTATTACTTGACAATCAACTTTTTAAAAATAGCTATGAGAGAAAGTAGTGCAACGGACTCATTATGTTTATCTATTGTTACTTGTTAAATGAGGAAGTAACTTTTTAATGGGAATTTGTTATGGTAAGACTGGTACTCACATTTCAGCCCCTAACGTGATATTGAATACATAGTTGACTTGAACAGTGAGTCATGAGTATTGTGTCGTGTCCTTAGCTGTCATCACCAGTGGTTGAACGTCCAAAGGTTGGAGTATTCTGACATGGAAGAACTTTTACCCTTTTAAAATGAAAAAAAAGAGAAATCAACGGAAGAGAAACTATTCAGTTGTATTCTTAATAATTCATTGGAAGACTCGACCGGGAACGTCACTTTCATCAACTACTAACAAGATTAAATTTTCTGAAACATCGTCTGGCAGTGTTTAGGAAATAGTATACACAACAAATAGATCAATTCTGTACCATTGCCTCATAACTCGGGTAGGAAGACGAGGGCTCTAGGTATAAGTTTGGCCGTATGATTCACCCTTAAAATATTTGAGTATGATACAAAAAATTTCAAGTTGGTGAATGTGTGTTGCAGAGTTTACCTATTTCTACCAGCCAGAGGAGGAGAGAGGGAATGAACCACCCTACCTTGGAAGCCACACTCGTGTCTATATTTGTCCAATAAATTATTATTTTCGTGACAGAATCAGTGGAGCAGCCAAGCCATACGAGCCTAAGCCTCTGATAAGTAGCTGACTTATCTTTTAAAGGTATAAGTACTGGATTAAAGTATTTCCTCTTGTCCGGGTCAGTGGAACACAAATATTCTTCACCCATTTATTACCAACGAATCATTTCCTTCGTTATAAAAGGACTTTGAATGTGGATAAACCAAACAGAAGAAAAAAAATCATCTGTTACACGAGAACAACACTTCATTCTCACACCTTCACTCGCCCTGGACTGCCTCTGCCAAACTCATCCTCCTCATAGATAACATCCCAGTGATCAAGATAACATAAGATTGTTGTATGAGATCTTAGTCGTCAAGCTCAGTCTTCCCGCTTTTCATCTTACTGTTAGATGCTTGTTATTTCACCCTTATCTATAGAGATGTTAAAGGCGATGGTATGGACGTATGTAAACATGTTGGAAAGATAGCTAGAGAGATGTGCTGGAGATGTGATTGTTGGAGGAGGCTTCAGTACTATGAGAGAGAGAGAGAGAAGACTGTTTGTGTGTGTGTGGGTGTGCGTCGCAATTTAAAGCCTGGTGATTAGCCTTTTATCACTACCATCAAAGTCAGATAAGCGTCGAGAGAAGTATCGTAGACTCACAACACTAATAGCCAACATTTACTTTCACTAATCGTATTAGCAAGAAAAATATTACCCGTTCACTTTCACACAGCGTCCGTTCATCACCTTTGGACAGTGAAAGGTACAAAAGAATGAAGCGGATTACAGTGTACATGATACGTGTCGGCGCCAACAAGTCAGGCAGGAGACTCGCGAATAATTAATTAATGCTTTAGTCGTCCAAGTCCTCTGGTCCGCTTTTTCACATCCTCGGGCACAGGGCACGACTTGTGTGTGAATGTTGGTGATCCAGGAGACGATAGTTGCTCACACCACCAGCAGGAGAGGCCAGATTTAGCATCCTACCATAAACTACTACAGCAATGTACAGTGTAGCTAACAGAGGCTGCCCTAGAGTTGCTCCGACAAGAAGTACAGTTGGTAGCGTGGAGGAAGGGATCACCAGGTGGATTGATAACGTTGTGCACTATATTTTTATGTTGCAGGGCTGTAACTGGTAGTGCAGAGAGAGAGAGAGAGAGAGAGAGAGAGAGAGAGAGAGAGAGCAATTAAATGTGCGTTTTAGCTTAGTTGCCATCAGTGACGAAACAGGGAGGTCTTATAGTTTCGGGTGTGTGTTTGTTGACGTTGACTATAACAAAGGTTTAGTATTAATGTAACTGTAAAATAAAGAAGATATGTAGCTTATTTTATTACCTCAATCTCTTTAACCTCTTGAGTATAATGTCAGTCCCTTGAGTACCCTGAATTAGCCCAGTAGGTTAGATATTTAAACCCAATTAGCCCAATGAGTACGATATCTTCACCACTTGAGTAAGGTGACTGACGTATCCTTCACCATACACTTTCGTCATACTCAAGGGGTTAAGATTTAAGCTGTGACTCAGAGCTACACACTAGCACTCACCATAACCCTGACAGCTGTCCACCTCAAACATCTTGGAGGAATGGAAGGTTGGGAGAGCCGGAGCTGAGGTGCGGGTCATCCCTAGTCGGAGAGGATCGGCGGGTGCTGGTGGGTCTTCAGCTAGTGCCAGATCGGTGATGGAGGGAGCTAGGGGGTCTCCGCTCCCCCGGCCGCTGCCCAGCCTGTTGACTCGTCCTAAGGGGTGCACTTCCATGTTCCCCAGAGGCAGAACCTTCCCTAGGGGAGGTAAGTGAGTTTGTCTCAGTTATGTAATATTGACTGGTGACATATTTATTGATGTCACAGATACACGCATTTTAAAGACTCACCAACACTCACCAACTTACAGTCATCAAACACACAGTCACCGACAGTCATAAACATCCAGTTAGTATAACAGTCACCCACCAATTCATATACATCTTATCACCATTACACGATCACCAAAAAAGGAGTCATCAATTATGCAGTTCCCACCATATACTCACTAATGCACAATCATCAACAATCACCAACGTCCAGTCACCAATATACAGTCACTAAAACAAAATCACCAACATTTAGCAGCCATTACAATAATACCCAATCATTAAACACAAACACACACACACACACAAACACACACACACACACACACACACACACACACACACACACACACACATAATAACTTTCTCTCCCCCACACACAAAAAAAAATTTATATAACCAAATTTACAATAGTTTTCAGGAAAGATAATCACAGACCCAGATGGCTAACGTCAACATTCATCTTACACGATCCCCCACAAGGCCCCGAGACGGTATACTTAACGGGTCATACAGGAAATAATCAAAAGATCTCCCCTAAAACTGGTGATTGTATAAACGTGTATTCACTCAAACTGTAAACTAAGACTAATTATGTACTTGTAAATACACTCCTCGGTGTTTAAATCTGTACCTATAAACATATTTCTTAATTTAATATAACTATCTATATGTAAATCAGTATATATGTAATAATTCTGAATGATTTGACTAAGATTCTTGTTTAGCAAAAGCATAGGTATAATCGGTAAAATATAGCGTTGAAATTGCGTTGAGACTTTGCCGTAGCGAGATTGCATTACGTCCAGTTGGAAATATATTAAGAATGGACTCATTGGAAAATTTAGATCGTGTTATTTGACTCCTTTCTTACGCTAGTTGGAGGACATTTCGTATACAATATTAACTCGAAAAATATTGTTTAATAAGACTTTTTTTTTTATTTATTGTTAAGTTTATTTAAGTTAAGATTTGGTTAGGTGGGGTTCAGTTAAGTTTGGTTAGTTGGATACGAATCGACTAATGAACGAAGCGGATTGTATACGAATCGACCTGTATACATAACAGTTTATATACGAATCGACCCGTATACATAACAGTTTGTATACGAATCGACCCGTATACATAACACTTTATATACGAATCGACCAATGAACGAAACAGTTTGTATATTAATCGACACGTATACCTGTTTGCATACGAATCGACCATCATATCTATCACCAAGCGAGAACAAGCGGTAAATACGTATTGACATTCATTGTGGGTCGTGATTGTTACCGTGACACTTGAAGGCACGTTTTGTTACACCTTATGTGAGGGAGGGCTGGAGTTATTGTGTCTCTACATTCTGATTTCTCTCTCTATTTGTGTACATTCTAATTACGGTATTATCTCTCTCTCTCTCTCGCTCTATTTGTGTACATTCTAATTACGGTATTATCTCTCTCTCTCTCTCTGCACTGCCATAAGTGAGACCACAACAAGGCCATTGTAAGTCTCCAATATTATGTCTCCTTTACCTACACGTGTGGTGGCTGCATGAAGAAACAAATGGAAACTAGGAGATATTAAAACTGATTGGAGCGTATTGGAGATCACTACAGGGAACAGGTAGGTACTGGAGATCACAAGAGGGTTATGTAAGGATAGGTCGTGGTACTACTAAGTCACAGGTAGACCAACTCACCTGCCGTGGCGTAGTTCCAGGTGAGCTTAAAGCCGTCAGTGGCAGTGTACAGGGCCCTGAGAGACACAGGTAGCACTACATTGTGTCGCTGCTCCCACGCCACCACGGCCGAGCGCTCCACGCCCCCTCGCACCACCACGCTCACGTCCTGCACGCCCCCCACGCTTCCTGTAACACGGGTTCTCGTCATCATCACTCTCTTGTAGGTCGTGTTGCCGGGTATCGCGTTCAGGAAGTGTGGACAGCTTAAATGTCATGAGTTTCTTATCCACACCGGGAAAATATTCTGCATGTGGATGATCGTATATGATACATTCGCAGCTGCTCACACACACACACACACACACACACACACACACACACACACACACACACACACACACACACACACACACACAGTACATACTTGTATTATACTATCCACACTCAAGTGCATGACATATACACACTGTGATAGTTGAGTAAATATTCAAAGGAACGTAAACACATTTCTCCTACCCCATTTTACAGTAAACAAACAAACACCATGTACAGTACACCCTTGTTAAACACCATTCACACCCTCTTTACACATAATGTACACTCCCGTTACACACTATGTACTCCTTCGTTACACCGTGTACAGCACTTCAGTACATCACTTACTAAGCGTGTCGACCAGTCCCAAGGTAAGATCCGTGACAAAATTACAATCCCTCTCCCTTCTGACGTCCATCCCAGTCACTGTGAACTTGTCAATCTATACCTTGTGTTTGTCTCTGCTTTTTCTTTTCTAATAAATTCTAGATTATATAAAACGTAAAGTAAATATTTCTATTTTATCGCTGGTATATTCCCCTCAGGATGTAGATAAGTATAAACAATTAAACAGATGACACACGGAGACACAGACACAGGTATACAAAGTTACAGATGGTAAGTTAGCGTCGTTCGTTGCCATGGCTACTGTTGTGGGGGGTGTAAATCAGCTGATGGCCGCGGCGGTAAATTTTGAAACCACTCACCTGTTACGAAACTCTCTCTTATTAACCTTTCGTCAGTAATAAGTCGACACAAATAATTATATAAATTTAATTAAATACAGGTTAGTTCTTGCCGAAATATATCTTATTAATATGATCTCTTCTCTGTGCGTAGATTATGAACATTGACTTATATTCTTATTGGCACAGCTCCCTCCCTCCACCGACACCCTGGTAGACCCTCCATCCTCCCTTCTATAATAGACCTTAGTGGCCACACACCCTCTCTCTCTCTCCCCTGCTACCTCTCTCTCTCTCTCTCTTTCTCTCTCACCAACATCTTTTTTACAACATCAATAAAAATTACACTCGTTCTTGCCATCACCACAGGAAGTGACGTCATACGGTGCCTTGGGTGACACTATGGGTGGTGCCGGTAGTTAAATTAAGGTCGAGGTTAGGGAAGGGGGTGTTGGCGGCCATATTAGAGCACATTATTGAATTAGTGATGCACCTTTAACCCCTTCGTCAGCACAGGTCGGATCTGAACAGGTTACTATAGCTGAACAGTGAACGAGAGGCCAGGATAGTGAACGTGAGGTCATGATAGTGAACGTGAAGCCGTCAGGGAACAACCTAAGAGGAAGTGTGCTTAAGGTGTGACATACATACATACATACATACATACATACATACATACATACATATATACATACATACATACATACATACATATATACATACATGCATATATACCTGTACAGACAATTGCAAGCGTAAATATAATCCCGATTTGAGATCAAGGTTATGAAATCCATTTTATGTGTATCGCGTGAATGATTCTAAGTGAATAATCAGGAGGTATTGTGTATGATTGTATAATAAAGTAAGTATCGTGTATAGTTCTGAGTATATAGTGCATGGTTATATAATCCAGAGAGAGAGAGAGAGAGAGAGAGAGAGAGCACTAACCTCTTGAAACATTTTATAAGGTAATCTTCAGTCTTTGTGTTTGCCCTCGTGAATGAGAAAATCCTTTAATTACACACATCTCCAGGTCACCAGTCTTCTAGCACAACTGTAACGAGACAAAACACAGGAAAGGTCACTGGATTACAGCAACTAACTACATACTTATTGAACCAAAACGACAGTCTTGTATTAAGCTCTGAATCAGTCTAGCGTTAATTCTATAATGGATGAGTAAGAATTGATGTTTAGAATAATAGGAGGAATTACAGTGACACATTAACTCCGCCTCGTTGATCAGAAACAGAAGTCGCAAGAAAACACAGAATAGATTGTCTTAGGGCAGTGGTTCCTCAACTGGTGGGTGTGTGGGGGCGTGAGGCAACATAAGTTTTGGTTCTCCGTGTATATCAATCTTCCCCAAATTCACGAGATACGTGGATAAAATAAATACGAATTAGTTGATCTTGTAAATAATATAAATACGAGTAAAAGGTGTAAAGTGAATTAGAGGTTAATTAAGTTGATTTTAGGTAATGAGGAGCGAGGGTTTGGTAAAAGAGAAAAGAGAGACGTCAGGTGAAAAAGTTTGGGAACCATTACTCTAGAAAGATGGACGAAGTTTCTAGGTTTGTCGCTATGTAGACCCTCGGACATGTTTCTAGCTAAATTAGATGGATTAAACTGGAAAACAAGTCGTGTAGGGAGGAATAGTTGAGGTGGTTTTTAGGATCCGGCGTTGAGTAAGACTCCAATATTGACATGACAACATCCTCGTGTACAATGACCTCAAGTAACAGGACTCAGTATAGTTAAAAAAAAAAGGAAAAGTGCATTTATCATCACAGGTAATTGATGTGTAATTATTAATATTTAAATTCTTACAATGACATTCGGTAACCTTGTAGTAAAACTTGATAACATTCACACCACAACACTCTCCCTGACACACACACTGCTAACACGACACCTCACCTCACTTGCGCCCGACTCATACAGGAAAAAAAAATGTGTCAGTATTTATTATATTTTCACCAGCGTCTCTCCAGGTATAATAAACATAAAACTTCTTTGTTGAAATATATTGGAGAGACTTAACTACCACTTTTGATGGTCTATAATGCCTTAAACGGAAGATGAGGCTGAATATAGACAATACAAAATATACCTGTATTATACTGCATTTACACTCGTGACCTTCGATTTAAATTAGTGAATATTTGGACGCAGGATGAAACAATATACTGAATGGTATAATTAATCCCAACTTCGGGAGTCTTAGATTATAATTTAGACACGTTGACAGTAATAGTACTAATGGGTGAATGTCAGTAGAAGTTATCTCACAGTGGTTCACCAAGCCTACTACAGTTTTCTTTATTCTTATTTTTGTTTTAATCTCCGTGGTCTTATAAAACCGACTGGAATATATTTTATCATGTTTATTTTATGTCTGTTTCTTCCTTTCTCTCTTTCCCCTACACACCGAGGCACGTTCCTCACACGTACAACACACTGCTGTGGGCTACGTCTGCTGTGGGCTACGTCTGCTGTTGGTTTATCTGATTTCGGCAGACAAGACAATAGCCCTCGACATCTCCTTTAACCTAAACACTTTTATTATCTTTTGATGACATCCTCAAAAAACAGACCGAGATAAAAAAAAACATGAAAGCTTTCTAACACACTGTACACGATCACTGATCAATATCATTAACTTTTTATTCATACGGTTGTGTGGGTTCGATATTTGTTGTGAAAGTTAAGCCATAGAAAGATGATTGTGTCACGCTGGTATCGCACTTTGGTTCAGATTCACGTAATTTAGTCAGAAAATCTAAACATTTACTGCATTGTCCACAAGCTGATGCCACGACCTAGATATTATAAATTTATTGCCGGGTCGGCGACATGTAGTTTCTGTTTTTTAGTGGACCAGGTGTGGAAGTAGAAGGGGGGTGGGGGGATATTTTACTGTGACCTGTCGTCTTGGTCAAGTCACAACACGTAGTCATTTTCCGTTGTGCTTTAGAATACACGCATAAGAGGGTGCAACACCCCATGGTTGGTCCCTGCTACAGTTAAGTTTGTTAGCGTTATTCCAGCTACTCCCAGCAATTGTACTGTGTTACCTCCGTCTAACACACTCTGCCTTAGTCTGGACTTACCCTATCCCAGTAGTGAGGTGGGTACAGCAGGCGTCGTGAGGGGCCGGAGGTCGCGCGTGAACACGAAAGTTTTGTGTTTCGGTGTTCGGGGGAGTCCCTCAGGTGGTTCCTAAGGCAACAGCACTACGTAAGTACGGGTGGTGCTCAGTACTAAGGTTATGTTGATCTGGCTACCTCGCCCTCTGTGCAGTAGCCACGCCCTTCACTGAGTGATACCAGCTGACCCGGTGCTGGAGCAGGACGGCTCGTCTGTCCCGCCCAAACTGTAGGACAAAATCCAGCCAAACCAACCTTAATCTAGCTCTACTGAACTTCATCCAAGCTAACCTAACCTAACTTGGCCTATAGTCTTTTTTAACCTTATCTTTAGTTTAAAAAACAATCGATATATATATATATATATATATATATATATATATATATATATATATATATATATATATATATATATATATATATATATATATATATATATATATATATATATATATACATATGTGTGTGTGCGTGTGTGTGCATTTACACAATGTTTACGCCCACTAGGTAAGGTCAGTGAAATTGCCAATTTAATACAGAGGTAAAGGTCACAGGTAATAATGATCAGACAGTGTACAGTACATAATGATGTCTGTGTGGCTGCTACACTTGCTGTATTTTCACAGTGAGAGGAAGAAGGTGTACCAGAGAGTGTGCCGGGGTGAACCTTCTGATCCTCGTGTTAACAAGTAACGTGGTATGGCCGTTATAGTGGAGGTAAATTATTAAAAAAAAAACCTTGACTAGTACTGTCGAACACTTCTGTCTACTAAGTACTAAAGCTGTTTGTCGTCCATGAACCCTGACAACTCAAGGACCTCAAAATAAATTAACTCGAACTAATTGGGAAGGTTCAAATATAAGTGATATGGGTTCAGTGTACACGGAGCTGCCTTGTATGAACCAACAGACCCGTAGCACTTTCCTTCATGCTTATGCTCCTAGATAAACAACAACAACTACATACGTTTATCTATCATGAGTTAGAAAGGCATCCTGAGGTGTCCTGGGATGAAGGTTACCTGCGCCAAGTGAGTGACAGCTTCACACACGATGTAGGGGTCCGTCACTCACACCGTAACCTGCCTGTCCTTAAGCCATCAACATCATCAGGTAATTTAGTCGTCGGGAGAGTGTTGGCTAGGATATAGGCCTCACCTGTGTTCCTGAAAGAGATAGAGTTTTAATTTCTCTCCCGGAACACTATACAACAAAGGCTTTCCTATTGTGCCAAGATGTGTTCAGTATATTAAAATACATCTACACCTGTTCTTAAGACTCCTACACCTTCACTTGTATACGTTCTATCTAGGGTTTAAAACTATCTTTCACTCCTGTGCTGAAAATTATTACACCTACAAAAATAAAAGTTTTATCTACGACATAAAATACTCTAAACACTCGTCTTAAATTCTAACACACACTTACTGATGTACCGCCGACCATCATATTCATTCATATACCTGTTTTAATGGTCACTATACCTGTCCTTGAAAATTGCGTTATCTCCCTCACACTCGTCCACTGTTATCTATATGATATGTGTAGTTGTGAAGGAATGTTTATATACTGTATACCTTGGAGCTCTTGGTATAACAGTAGCTCTCGTTTGGCAGCTTCGACCCAGAATTTTCAGAGGTCGTCTAACATAACACCAGTTGTCCACCATAACACCAGCCGTCTACCTTAACAAGTCATCTATCTTAACACAAATAAAATCTACCTTATCTACCTTAACATCGGCTACCTACCTGACCCTCACCTGGCTTACTTAA